GCACTTGGTGGCACTGCAGGCTTCTGCCCCAGCTCTGCACGTCTCCCTGGGGACACAATGAGGTGGGAGCACCCTTTTGGGTGCAAGATTTGGGGTCCCTCTCAGCAATGGCCTTGCTCAGCAGCTCTTTGCAGCAAAGGCCAGCTTTGTGCTGTGTGCTCCAGCCCAGACCCACACGAGCACCCCAGCCCCCTCACAGTGAGCAGTGCATGCAGCACTGGGACTGAGCAGCCCTTCCCACATGGAGGATGTCTGCTGCTGGTTCCCTGCACTGTGTCCAAGGGATGTGACCTGCATTGTGCCAGCACTGAGCACCCCAGGAGCACTGCGGTGCACACTGCAGGTGGAGAACAAGCTCTGTAAAAACACCATCACCACCAATAACCGCAACTAAAAGCAAGTAGCAACACCCCTGCCACCCATTACGAGTTAAATTTCAGTCCCAAATGCACTCAAATCCTTTCCAGTTTGCTCTAAAGACTGGTGGTTTGGGTTTGGAGCTGCTGTTTTCCCAGCTCCAGGGCAGAGCCCAGGGCCCATTGCTGCCCTCTGCACACCCATCGGTGCTGTTGCTGCTGGAACTCCTGCAGACCACACAACGTCCTGCAGCACCACGAGACCCACAGGATCAGATCCGATTCTTTTTGCCCCCCCTTCCCCAGCTGCCCCAGTTTGCAGCGCCACGCGGTCTGTATCCATCAGCTAATTGGTGCTAATTAATCCCAGCAGCTCCAGCTGAGCACCGCTCCACGCAGGAGCAGGACTACATTCAAGCAGAAGGATTTTCCAGTGTCGGCCACAGACAGCAAGTTTTCCCTGCAGCATCTCCAAGGCTTTGCAGGAGCCCATTTGATCTCCATTTGGACAATTTGGGCCTCGGTGCCCTCTGCCCCAACCACCTCTCAAATGTTGTTTGGTTTTAAGCACCATCCATCCACCCTGAGCCTCCCGCTTCGGTCACCAATGGGGAAAAATGGGGTTTTTGTTGGGAGAGGTCACTGCTGGGTGGCTCGGGAATTAGGGGCTTGTTCTGCTGGCTAATGTCATTAGCTCCACGTTAACTGCATTAACCTTTCTCACAGTTCCCAGCTCCCAGCTCGTGGTTTATCTCTGCAGACAGAGTTGTTATTAAGAAGGCCATCGCAGGATGGGTGTTTTGTACAGCTCGGTATTCTCTTGTTATGGGACCCACTGATATTTTGTGGGGAGGCTCAGTGCTAGAATAAAACTCGGTAATCTTTCATCAGACTCTTGGCTGTATAATCTCCTTATGAGAAGGAAATCCTTTGTTTATTGGCAGAGCTCTTCTCTTTAAGGGGAATTGGAAATGCGTTTGTGTTTTGCTCTCAAGTATTTCTAATTCAGCAACAACAAAACAAGCGGGTGCAACTCCTAATCCAATGGCTGGGCGATTCTGTGCCTGGTTGCAGCCTTTTGGGTTTGTTCCCTCCTTGCCACGAGACAATGGGCTAAAGTGCTGAAAATGAGCTAAGAAGTGGTAAAAATGCTGCTGTTCCAAATATTGCCTCCCACTTGCATTGATGGGGAACTTCAGGAATGGGGCACAATGCTTCAGAGCCGGTGCAAACAACATGTGTGCAAGGGTGTGTAAGTGTGCAAGGCTGGGCAATGGAGGTGATGGTGCTGGGGGGGGCTGTGGGGCTCAGCATGGTCACTTTGCTCCGTGCTGGGAGCAGTAAATGAGAGAAAACATCTTCCTTAGGTTTGTTCCCACAGCAGTGACCTTGTAGCAGGAGCTGTTCCAGCCCAGGGATGTGCCAGGGCACCCAGCCCCATGGGATTCAATGGGACACCTGCATCCTGAGCAGCCCTGTGCATCCCAGTGCCACACGCATAGAAAAGGGGAATGAGAGCTCTGGGACAAAGCATTGCTCTCTGGCATTGACTGACGCTCAGATTCCCTTTGATTTGAGCCTGCACAGCAGCGTGCAGGGGCTGTCCTTCTTTTAGGGGTCCCACTGAGCCCTCAGCAGCGCGGTTTGGCAGTCAGGCAGATTTTGCTTTGCATCCAAAGCTGTGGATGGTACTGGACTCTGACAGCTCACCCCAAGGAGCAGCCAGGCTTTGCAGTGCCACCAGTGCAGGGCAGCGGGCGTTGGGAAAGGCGCTCAGTCCTGGCTGCTGCGTGGCACAGTGAGCAGCTCCGCTCACACCGCTCCTCTCCATCACAGGAGCCTTGTTCTCCCTTTAGGAACCAGCTGGTTGGGGGGGACCAGGAGCACTGTGCAAGCCCTGCAGCCCTGCTCCAACAACAGAGTGATACTGGACGTGCTCAAAATCGTCCTGCAGAAGCTCCAAGCGCAGCCCGGCGCCCAGAGAGCAGCATTTACTCTTATAGCATCGGAGAGGGGAAAGCCACTGCATCCCACCCCATGCACTCTGCTGGGCGGTAAGCGGGGCACGAGGCGGGGGGGCGCGCAGGGCGCAGCGCCCCGCGACGGCTGGGCACGGCAGAACGCAGCGCTGCCTTTAATGCGCCGGGGGGCTGAGCTGCGCTCCCCACGCGTGTATTTCTGTGCACGGAGGAAGGAGGGGGGTGGTGGGGTGGGGTGTGCGCAGCAGGTGCCTGCAGCCAAGGCAGGGCAGTTCGGCGTGCAAGGCGTTAAATTCAAGCGTCACATCAGATCGGCCCCGTCCCCCCCGCCGCTGGGGTGAACCCTCCGCGGGGTGTCCCGGCTCGGAGCGCTCGAAGCCGCCCCGGGGCCGCCGCCCGCATCGCCCGGCCGGGCCGAAGAGGAGGAGGAGGACGAGAGGAGGAGGAGGAGGAGGAGGAGGAGGGGTTGGGTTGGCCGGGCCGCCGCCCGCAGCCGCTGACGCTGAGTGCTCTGCGGGGAAAAACAGCCGCGCTCCGCTCAGGCGAAAAAAAAAAAAAAAAAAAGAAAAAAAAAAAATAGAAAAAGCAAAAAAAAAAAAAAAAAAAAAAAAAAAAAGCAACCAACCCACCGCCTTCCTGTTTGATTTTTCCTTTTTTTTTTTTTTTCCTTTCTTTCTTCTTTTTTTTTCTTTCCCCTTTTCTATTTTTTTTTTTTTTCGTTATCCCCTCCCCCCCCCACCCCCCCGGACAGCTCGCTCACCCTTCCTCTCGGCTCTGCATGACTGTCACAAAGGTAAGGAGCCGCTTTTCCCGCAGCCACCTCTCCCCGCGGATGCTCCCCCAGCTCCCCGCTCCCACTTCGGCTCTCCGGGCCCGGGGGGCAGCGGGGCCCGACCGTTCCCGGCAGCTTCGCTCGGCCCCTGGCGGCGGTGCTGCAGTTTTAACCCTTTGAGGGAGGGAAGGCGTTGGCCGGGGGTGGCCGCGAGCATCCGTCCCCCCGACGCGGCCCCGTTAAGCCGCTTTGCTCGGCAGCTGCTGCCCGGATCTCTACAGGTGGCTGCGGGCTTGGGAGGGGGGGATAGAAAGAGGTTGGGGAGGGGGGGTCGGGGATCGGCTGGGGGGACTGCGGGCTGCAGGGGGCTCGGAGGTGGTGGAGGGAACCCATCCTGAGCAAAGCTTCCCGCTGCTCAGGGTAGTAATGTGGGAATTCGATCCCCAAATCTGCCCCTTAACTGCTGCAGCAGCTCCAGGTGCTTCCCCACATCGCTGCAGAGGAGGAAGGTCTTTCTTTCCTACGATTTCCCTGTGCCCCCGGAGCAGCGGTTGCCACTCAGCCCATCCCACAATGGGCTCAGGGAGCCGTGCTGGGTGCTGCTGCTGGGGGTCCGGGCAGCATCCCACTGCAGTGCTGTGATTTGTGTGCTGGGGCCATGTTGCAGGTCTGGGAGCAAAAGGGGTCCAGGCTGGAGCCTCAGTGTCGGGGTTTGGGCTCTCAGCCTTGTGCAGCACTACAGCTCTGTTTCTGGGCTCTGCTTCAGGCCCAGACAAAGCTTTGCCTGTCGCCCATTGCCACAAAGTGTGGTGCGGTGCTGAACTAACAAACCTTGCATGGCAAGTGGAAGCAAACGGGGTGGGGGTCACCTAATGAACCCCCATGTGGGATGTAGCCAGGGAGAAGACATGGCAGCTGTGTCCTGCTTGCTGTCTGTCACCCCATGTGAGGGCCTCCTGCTGGGAGGGGACGTGGTGGGGGCACGCACACTGGCACAAGAGTGATGGGGATATTGCTCATGACCAAAGAGCCCAAAGCAGCTCCAGGCTGATGCTGGTGAAGAGACAGCGGGGGAGGAAACCCCCCCACCCTGCGTCTCAGTCCTTAACAAATAACTTGTGTTTCACTGCTTTGCTTTTGTTGGGCTGGCACCAGCGTTTGTTGCCGGCCATTGCCATGCGCACCGCGCTGTTGCCGTCCTGCTCTGCTGCCAGCTGGACAAAGCCAGCAGCACTTGTGGATGTTGAAGGAAAAAAAGTGTTCCCAGCTCTTGTGGGTGCTGAGAGAGGGACTGATGGGCCGAACGAAAAGGCTGAAAGAGCAGGGCTGCAGTTAAGGAGTCGCACGTCCAGGCGAGCTGATTAATTAGTGGTGCTTGTTAGCAGATTTTTTATTCGTTTATTTCCAAAGTGCAAACAGATTCATTCAGAGAAAAGGCAGGGCTGTAAGGAGAGCATGCTCGGTTGTACAGTGAGGGATGTGCTGGTGGTTTGCAGGGAGCAGAGGTGTATGCTGGGAAGATCCACACTGCGTGCACAATGTGTGCCTTCACCAAAGCACTGTAAAGCTCCAGCGCACCCCATGGGTGTCGCTTCCTGCAGAATGGATGGTCCTGATGCAGGCAAAGAGCTGTGGAGCTGCTGTGACATCAGTGCCAGGGGCTTTCAGCAGGTCAGGGCACAGACCCAGCACTGCAGTGGCAAATGTGACCCGAAGCCACGGCTCATCTCAGGGTGTGTGGATGGAGGAAAAGCAAAAAAACTCAAACACCCGTGGGAAAGGAGATTGCTGTTTGTGTCTCTGGGCTGCTTGCAGGGAGCTGCCGTCAAGGTGACACGGGGGACAGCTCTGGAGTGTTCAGAGATTGGGAATTGTGTTTGTGTCCTTGTGGGGAGGAAAGCAAAGGGCTCCTTGCATCCTCCCCAGTGCAGGTGTCCAGTGAGTCCCAGTGCTGTGGGAATTTTCCCTCAGAGTGTTCCTGCAGCAGCTCCTCCCATGCTGGGGCCGCTTCCTAGGAGCTACTGGAAACAGAAGCAACGGGAAACGTTGGCAAACTTTGTGATTCATGTCTACGGGAAAATCCATTTGATGAGCAGGTCCAGGTGCCCAGAGCAGGCAGAGCGATCTTGGAGCCAACCCAGCGTGGAGAGGCACAAAAGGCTCTTCTGAGTGTGGGGGTGAGCAGGGGAAAGCGAGGAGGGGGCGAGGCGTGCACTGCCAGGATGTGGAACGAGCTGCTTTCATCCACATCCTGAGCCACCCCCTTCCCTCCCACGGTGAGGAATGTGAGTGTTCTACCCAGGAGAGTTAAGTCAGGTTTTAAATAGGATGGAGAAGGATGGATTGAAATGCAGGAAGAGCCTACATCTCCTGCTTGGGGATCTGTCCAAATGACAGGAATCTTGCACTGAGTTGCACTGTGTCGTGTTGCATTGCATTGTATTGCACTGTGTTGTGTTGTTGTGCTGCATTGCACTGTGTTGCATTGCACTGTGTTGTGTTGTTGTGCTGCATTGCACTGTGTTGCATTGCACTGTGTTGTGTTGTTGTGCTGCCTTGCTTTGTGTTTCATTGCACTGTGTTGCCCTGTATGCTGTGCCATGCTCCCTCAGACCAGCTCTGCTTTCTCCAGGCTCTGCAGTAGAACCATTAATGTGAGAAGTGCTATAGGAATTGGGCAAATTCATCCCTGCTGTAGATCAGCTGTCCTAGGGGAAGTCTGGGGCTTGGGTTTGGGATTTGTTGCGTGCAAACAGACAAACAGTCCAAATCCATTATGCATAAAGGGCTTTTGCTGCATGTTGAGCATTGCTGGAGGGCCGTGCTTGTCAGGAACCTGGGTAACCCCACACGCTGCATGGCTGGGGCCAGCTTGGTGTGGTGCTCCCAGCTCCTACCCTCTGCCAGAAGCAATTTCAAAAGGCCGGAGTACAATTAACCATGAACACAAATTAACGAGGGCCTGAGGGAGCATTAATTTGGGAAAGATAGCTTTAAAATGACTGGAGGTTTTTTCTAAAGGGCACCGTTTAAATAGGATGCAGTCTGGGAGGTCCTGTGGCATGCATTAGATGTAGTTATCCTATGGTCTCCTCTGGCTTTATTATCTATTAATTGGTATTAGTCATCAAGCTACGCTGCTTAGATAACAGCTTATCCTCTTAGTTCGTGAGCAGATGAAGCCAAAACCAAAAACCCGGAGAGGAAATTGCATCCACAATCTGTCGTGATCCAAGATAGTGAATGAGTGATGCAACTGAACATGGTCAGCGGTAATTAACGCAGAGGCCTTAATTGGGAGGCCAGGAGTATGGCAATGCCATCCCTCGTGGTGAGCGGCACTGTCCTCTGCTGTCATTAAGGGCAGTTTTAGTGCCTGGGGCAAACGCTGATCCCATGGCAGAGCTGATGCTGGTTCAATGGATGCAGATTTGATTGCAGGCACCGGGTTGTGCTGTCGGGCAGAGCTGTGTTAGAGATGGGCTTCGGGCAGCACGGCTCAACGTTGTCTCTGGAGAAACAGGCAGGAGGTCTTTGCAGACAGTTCACTAAAAGCCACATTGAATGCACTACTGCCTGAGCTTTGAGAAACAGCACCAGTCATGTTACCAGCACTCATCTCAAAGGGAACAGGGGCTGGAGAGTCCTGGAGGAAACTGGGGGATGTCCTATAACCGTGTGTAGGGCCGTGGAAGGAGGGATGGGATGGCATTGCTCCCAGTGCTAGTGCCAGGGCACGGGCAGCAGTACTGCATGGAGCACAACGCGCTCCTTTCTGTGCTGTGTTCGCTCATCTTCAGTGCTGCTGGGGTTCCTGGGGGCTGGGAGCACACATAAGGGACTGCTTTGAGTCTAAAAATGGCAGCTCCCCATTTCCAGAAGCGTGACTCTCATCAAAGGCTACTCCTCTGGCCCACGGCTTTTTAATGAGTTTTAATTGTGATTCAATGCAGCATTAATCTGAGGCTTTGCCGTGGCCTGACTGCAGCCAGCAGGCTCGCTGGGGGCTGTAATTCATACCACGCAGAATGCAACGCGGGGTCACAGCCCCCACCTCCCCCCCCTTCTTCTTCTCATGGAAATTTTATCAAATGATGAATAGTTCGATTCATTATCCCGCAAGCAGAGAGCATGGAGTAGCCGGATCCTGGATTCCTATCTCCCGAGTCAGTGTGCAATTACAGAAATCTGGCAGCAGGCAGAAGCTCCGTGCTGCAGCCAGCTGCTGGAGCCCCCACCAATCTACATCGCATCGCTCACAGCCTGGAAGGGCCCCAGCGTGCAGCTCAGCTCCCACAGCTCCTTCCCTCCTTTGTTTGTCACCAAGTGGTGGCAGAGCCACCGAGCACAGAGCACGGCTGGGACCTGAGGTGGCGCTTGCATTGCAGAAAGCAGAGAGCCCAGATTTGAGCAGGTGACAAGGACAGCAGAGCCCCTGCTTGGGTACAGGGAGCTGCTCATCATTAGGACGTGTGGTCCCTGCCACCACAGCCCCCAGTGTGGGATTTTCCCCTTGGCACAGGGTGGTTTCTCCCCCCGCCACCCCGCTGTGCCAATCCCCAGGCAAGCTGTCAGCCCGTATGGAGGTGTCTGGCCCCTCCTGCACCAAGCTTCTGCTGTCAGCCCCATTAATATTCGTATTAGAGTGAGTGCTGCCAGGCTTTGCTAATGGGCAGGACCTGAAGGCTGGTTCCCAGGTCAAGTGGCCGTTGGATGGGATGGGGAACTGGACCCTGGGAGTGCTGGATGGGGGTGGTCACCAAACACCAAGCCCTAAGGGCTGCAGGGATGAGGTCCCTTTGCAGCTGTGGGAATGTTTGGATGGAACAGCACTGCTCTGCTCCCTGCATTCCATGCCTACAAGCACCGCTCCAGGCACACAAAGTATCTCTTGCAGGTGCACCCCAACATCAGCATCCAACAGTGTCCATCTCTTCAGAGTTCCCCAGGCCCACCTTGCTGTGCTCAGGCCATGTGCAGGTTTGCCCTGTGCAGGCAATCAGACAACTGTGTGCTTTTACCTCCAGGGTCAATGAGCATCTTTTGCTTTGGCCTTTTGTTGGGGGAGCGGCTGCAAGCTGCAGGGTTGCCTCATGCTTTGCAGTGATTGCAAATGGGAAGCTGGGAGGGGACTGTGGGCTGTGGGTGCTGCTATAACTGACATTTCCCTTCCTCCAGGACCGAGGAGTGCCCGTGACTGCCTGAGCCCCGTGCCAGTCCCAGGTGGCAGGCGGTGCCCCACGAGCCCACGGAGCCCAGCAGCTCAGGTGAGGAGCTTTGTGCCCACACCTATGGGGCTGGGGGGGGGTGGGGGACGGAATCAGAGAGGATGGAAACAGCCAATTTTGGCAGAACGTCTTGCTGATGGAGCAGTGTGTGCTGAGCATCCCTGTGGGCAGAGCCTGATGGATGCCGGCGCCTTTCGGGGGCTGCGCGGCTGCAGATCGATTCCTGTGAGCAAAGAGCTTTGGCTGCTGCCATCACTGTATTGATTGCAGCAAAATCCAACGCTGCAGCATCGTCTGCTCAATAGGAAAACAGGAGTGGAGGCTCTGGCAGAGCAAGCAAAAAGCACGGGGTGGGGATGCTGTGAGATCAGTGGTGAGGGTTCCTTGCTTGCCCCAAGCAAGGCAGCTCCATTCTGCTGCTGGGGACGTCCCCCCCCATCCCCAAACACAAGGCTGGGATTGTCTGGTGTGGGTTGGCAGGGGGGGCTGTGCTGCCTCCCACAGCCCTGCGCTCACTGGCACTTCCCTGCACGGCCAGGACATTTCTGCAGCATGAAGCATTCAGAAGATAGCAGTTGTTTTTCTTTCTTTCTTTCTTTCTTTCTTTTTGTTTTATTTTGCTGTTGTTGTTGCTTTGTTTTGGATACATGTTGCCCCTCTGCTGGGGAAAACTTCTGCAGAAGCAGCTCAGCTGTCCAGGACCAAAGTATGGGGATACAGGGACCTCAGCGCTGTGGGGTCTCTTGGCCTGTGCTGCTCACCCCACTGCACCTTCTTTGCAGCACAAATAACCTTCTGGGCTTATTCCTCTTACAAAGATGGGGCTCAGCAAGAAGCCATGAAGGTACTGATGTCGGAGCTCCCAGAAGTTCCCTTTTACCCCAATTCTTTGTCCTCCATCCCATAGCATCTTCCCAAGCACTCTCTCCAAGCCGCCCTTCTCTCACCTTCTCACCAACGCATATGACTTTCCAGCTCTCCCTAACCAAAAAGCAGTGAGCTGAGCAAGGGAAGGATTTATGGCTCCCTCCCACTGGAGGGTTTCTCTTGGCACATCGGTCACCCCACTCATTCTCCTTGAATATGGAAGAACTGCTGTAACGGAGGCTCCTGGCTCTGTGTTGGGTGATGTGTGACACGATTTGCTGGCGCCGATGTGAAACCTGTCCTCATTACATGGAAAGAGCATTTCGTCTCTTTAAATGTCTTAAAAAGCTCTCAGGTTGGGAACGAGCACTCTGTGTTTTCCCTGTTGCAAGGAGCTGTGAGCTCAGGGAGAGAAGGGCAAAGTCCCATGGACAGCAGTGACCCGGGGCACTGCCCTCATCCCCGTCCCTTTGTTCTGCATCAAAACATTTCCGCTGCCTTCGCCGGGTGGGAAGGAGTTGGGAAACAGAGTGGGAGGAAAGCTGTGCTTGTTTACATGAACCATCGGCGAGCGTGGGGCTGCTGTTCCTTCCCAGCACGGGGCCCAGAGATTCCTGAGGGGGCACAGCCCCACGGTGATTGCTTTGGGGTCTGGGATGTGGGGTGACCTCCTGGGGGTGCCTGGAGGTCTGTAGTAGTGCTGCCATCAGCATGCTTTTGGGTTAGCTCCACTGCATCCTTCTTACCGTCCCTCTGCGGTGGCCCTGGGCTCACCCACGTGATGTGGGGACGCAGCCCAGCATGGGCAGCTCAGGGGCCTTGGCAGGATGCTGAGCTTGAGCTGGGTGCCACGGGGGTGCTAGGATTGCATCAAATGGATCGGCTTCATGGAGCCCCAAGGGGGCTGCGGGCTGGGACCATGTGGGAAGTGCATGGGAAGTGCAGCAGGAGGGGTGGGGACGGAGGGGAAAGCCTTTCCCAGCAGTGTGGAGACCATTCCCATGCAGTCAGTGGTCTCTGGATTGAAGAACTCGTTGACAAGTTGAGCTCAAGGGAAATCCCAGGCACTTCCTTCCAAACTGGAAAAAAACTCGTCTGGCAGATACTGCTTCAGAAATGTTCATGTTGTGCTTTGCCTAGGCTGTGTCAATGGGATAAATCCTTCGTGTCTGTAAGATGAGTCTCCCTGGTCTCTCCTCTGCCTGCCCCAGCGCTAATATCATCGCAACATCGCATACAAACAGCACTGCTGCTGGCTCAGGGCACTGCTGGGGAGGCTTTGTGGCCATAGCTGCTGGTGTTTGGGCTGCTGGGTGATGTTGGTCTGGCAGCTATTGAATGCACACCCCATTCTGTGGCACAACTTTGGAAATAGCATTTTGGGGCAGCCCTGCCATTGCAGCTCCCATTTGCTGGGGTACGGAGATGCAGATGTGCATGAAATTGGGGGGTGGTCGGTGCTGTTCTGCACAGGGATGTGGTGTAAGCAGAGGTGCTGATGTGCACAGGGATGCTGTCATGCATGGGGATGCTGATGCACATGGAAGTGCATGGCCAGGGCAGAGCAATCCCAGCCGTGCGTTGGGATCCCAGCATGGACCACTCTTTCTCCAGCACTCTCATACTGCCTTCAGGCTTGGTGCCATAACTATGCCAGCCCTGCAGGATGGAGGCAGACAGGCCACACCAAAGCTGATACTCCTGCTCTGCAAAACCCCATGATAAAAGCACAGTGCATTCAACGAGCAATCCTAATTGTTATTATTATTATTTTAATGCAACCTTCAGCCATGATGCGCTCTGCAGATGCAGCCTGTGCCCTGAGCTGCTGCTGCTGTGAGCCTGCTTTACAGCTGTGTGAGCTTCCTCGGGGCCCTGCTCAGTGCACGTATTACGGTGTTTCTTGCAGCCCACAGGTGTTTCCTGGGGCTGGGCTCAGAGCCGAAGTCATCTCTGTGCTGGGATTGCTTTGTTGCCTAGAAGAAAGTAGGTAGCAGCGCACACTTCTCCCCCAGCACCCCCACATCTGTGGCCACATCACCGGGGATGCTCAGGGCTGGAATCCAAAGTGTGCAGAGCAGCCCCTGGGAGTGGAGGGCACTGACCCCAGCGTGTGCTGGGGCAGAGCAGTGGGAGATGCCCACTCTCAGTTCCCCAGGGTGTGCAGGGGTTGCGTGGGGTTTGCTGGCAGAAGCCCCCACCCCGGGCTGGCGAATTGAATGTTTTTGCTTTCCCTCTCTGCACAGAGATCTTGTGGAGTCAATGAGGGACCTGCACAAGTCTAGCGTGCTGGGGAGCAAGCACGGCAGCCTGGTGAGTGTCCCGCGCGGGGCATTTGGAGAAGGCTGTGACCGAGATGCATCCAAACGGCAGCACAGCGAGGGCAGCCCGGCCCCAGAACCAGCGGCTCGGAAAGGCCCTTTGCACGAAGATGTGCTCCGTTTGTGCTCCGCTCCCGGCACTTCTCCCCGCCGGTGCGCTCGGGGCTGGGTGACATCACGCGCTGCAATGCGCGCTGCTTTCCATGTCGGGATTGTCATGAAAATGAGGAGCGGATGTGGCGGAATGTTAAATCTCGCTGAGCCTCGTTAGCATGAAAGCCATTAATGTGCACAAAAGCCGTTTTCAAGGTTGAATTGAGAAGCATCGGGGAACTGGAGAATTAAGATCAGCGTTTGTTTGGCTCTAATCTAACGTGCAAGGAACAATAAGCATTTGATGAGTAACGCAGGCAGCGCCGGGATCTTATCAGCACAGCGCTGTGTAATTCCGAGCTCTTCTGCACAGAGTGGATTCTGACACCACAGACCCTACCTGTGCACGGAGCAGCTCTGGAGGAACCCAGGTGGATGCAGCTCAGGGCATGGTGTGCACACCATCCCGTCCCACCCAGGTCCCTCCTGCTCCTGTGTTTTCCCTTCCAAATGGAAGAAATCCACTGGCTTATCCTAGGGCTTGCCAACATCAATCCGTGGCCAGTATGTACGCTTGGGGCACAGGGGAAGGGGCTTGGGAAACCCCTTGGGAAGAGGTTGAAGTTTCCTTGACCGTGAGGCTGGTGCTGGTACATCCTGGTGCTGGTGAGAAGTGATGGCCTGAAGTTGTGCCGGGGGAGGCTCAGGTTGGATATCAGGGAACATTTCTTCCCTGAAATGGCACAGCTGCCCAGGATGTGGTGGAGTCACCATCCCTGGAGGGGTTCCAGAACCATGGGGAAGTGGCACTGAGGGGCACTGGAGACGTGGTGGGATGGGATGGGGCTGGGGACCTCGGAGGTCTTTTCCAACCTCAGTGGTTCCATGCTTCTTTGATTACTTTCCCTGAGAACCTCAGGGTGCAGGCAGGCCGAGCAGCACAGAGGACACACAGCTCTTTAAGGGATGACGGCAGGCTTTGCTGTGTGACTGCCCACTGCAGCATTCGAGCTCTTTGCACAAGCTCTGCTCCTCAGCTGCTGTTGCCAAGACTCCCAACGCCTGAAAAGACGCATTTAAAAATAAACCCATGGAGACAAGAGCTGGGCCCTGCTGCTGCTGGTAGGCAAAGGCTGGGGCTGCCAGGAGCTCAGATGGGTGCCCAGGCAGGGGCTGGGCCTCGCTCCTTGTTCCCATTACCCAGCGAGCTGTTCCCAGGGCGATGGGCTTTTGTGTGCCGCGCTCCGCCAGCTGACGTGGAGCTGCAGGGGAGCCTGGCACAGCATCTCCAGAAGAGCTTTTCATCCTGGAAAACAGAAAAGCCTGGAAAACAGAAAGGTTCTTTGTGTGTCGTTTTGGTTTACTTTTAATGCAACTGCTGCTGGAGATGCTCCCTGTGCTCCTTGCTCCTGCACGGACTCATCCTTTCCTTGCTCCCAGCTGTCCCACAACACACGGTGCAGCTCCACGGTAGGTGCAGCTCTGTAAAGCCCCAAAGTGTCGACCAGGCGATGCTGTGGGAGAGGAAGCTGCCTGTCCTTTCCCTGCATGAGGTTCCTCTTTGTCCGTGCCTCCATCCAGCACTGCTGTGTATGGAAAATCCCCTCCTGCCTGACCTACATTTCGTGCTGCTGTTCTTCTGCTGCACAGATCTGTGCGGTGGGGTGATGGTGGGGTGAGATGCTAATGGCAGCTGTGCCATGGACCTGGGTGTGCTTCCCTACTCTCTGCTCCTGAGGATTGGCACAGAAACGATGCACCAACAAATGCCCCAGACAAGGCAGGGTTTCTCCTGAGGGTGCACCTTCAACGATGTCCTTTTTGCTTACAAAGTGCCACAGGAGCCACCAAAACCTCCCCAAATCTGCTCCAGCCGTGCATGGTTCCTGCTCTAACTGTTGTTGTGGAAGAGATTTCCTTCTCCCAGAGTGGGATTTTGGGACGTGCTCTTTCCCTCAAGTACTTAAAGAAGTAAAACATTGCCATAATCTGACAAATGCTGGAGCAGAGCGGAGAGATTCCCAGCTTTCCATGAGGTCTAGGGCCTCTGTGGAGCAGCGTGGTTGGGGATGAGGTTTATTTCAGTGCCTCTCTTCAAAGAGCTCCGTCGTGTTTTTCATGGAAGTTCTGCTCAACCTGAAGCGAGGGAGGGGCTCTGCAATGAAAGGAAGCATCAGAATCCAAGCACAACGCAGCGCTGGAGCAAACCTTGGGAACGGTGGCACATTGCTCTGATTTGGGAGAGGGGCAGAGACAGCTCCAAAAACCCAGCAGCATTCTTGCAACTCCTCCCAGCTATCGAGATGGAAAAATAAAATGCCCATTCACCTCAGCAGAATGTATAGAATTACTCCAAGAGGCAGTTTCCTAAGAATTATGTACCGTCAGGTTACAGCCGCTCTGGGTAACAGCTCCCAGCAGTGTTCCTGGCTCTGCAGAGCTCTGTGCAGGGCCAGGAGCTGCTGCAGGGCTTTGGGGATGCTGCGGCTTAGTGCAGGTGATGGCCAGGGCATGCTGCACGTGGATGCTAAATTTAGTGGGGTTGTCTGGCTCTGAGCATCGGCTGCCTGAAACGGCATCAAGCCAGGGCTAAAAGTCCAGGGGAAGGAAGGAAATGCTATATTTCAGTGTGAGTTTGGGGGGATTTCCCCAGCGCTCACTGCTGCACTGCTGTCAGAGCACCCATGCCTTGTGGGACACGAGGTGTTCTGTGCTCCATCCTGAGCAAAGCTCCCACTGCCCCGGGAGGAAGCAGAGGGGCTGTAAGGTTTTTCCAGCATTTCCTCTTCCTTTGTCTCCATTGAGTTGAAATCCTTTGGGGAAGGGGCTGCTTTCCTCCCCATTGTGCAGACCGTGGGGTAGGAGATTGTTCTCATCCTGGTGGGGAAATCGGACTGGTGGGCAACAATCTTCCATAGCAAAATGGTGTTTCTTGGTTTCTTGTGAAATTGCATATTTTGTTGGGAATACATCCCTGCTTGCAGCCCCTTGGGTGCCAGGTTCCCAGCACGAGGTATGTGACCTAAAGCCTTGGGGGACTCTGTGCTGGTTGGGGGTCTCACACTGTGAGGCCACCCACTCATCCTTGTCACTGCTGATGGTTCCTCACCCCGGAATGAGCCTGACAGATGGAAAGGGCAATGGGAAAAGGGCTCTTTTTCTTGGCCAGAAGATCTCTCTGGTTCATTTTTGCAAGAAAATCCTCCTGCATCCCCACGAGGAACGGCTTTGGGCCCCCACTGGGAGCATTTCCATTGACCCAGGCCATTGGAGCACAGCAAAAGATGTTGAGATTTTTATTTTCCGATCCAGAAGGCTTCAATGGCATGAGAACCTCCCACCAGCTGCAATTCCCTGCTGCTCCAGGGTACCCAAGTCACCGCGTCCCCCCTCCATCCGCATCCCCAAAGCACAGCAGCGTGGGGACCTCAGCATCACCCCGCAGCATGAAGATCTATTGCTATAGCAGGGAAGCCTGCCAGAACAATGGATGTGCAGGAAGCGGGGCACTGTGCAGCCCCCAGACGTTTCCCCACATTCTGCTGCCGTTTCCGGGCTGTCTGCAGCCCTGGGGCTGCTGGCTGCTGTTTGCAGGAAATACTGAGGGTGAAGGAATGGCGCTGGGGATCTGGCCAGCAAAGCGCTCTCGAGCCGATTGCTTCCTCCCTGGGTGGGATGAAGGCACGCCCGGATTGGGGTGAAAGAACAAAGAGATGAGAGCAAAGCAAAAATGCTGAAATCCTGAAAGATGCATCTCTGCTTGGGGTGGGTGGCGCGGGGTGCGTCCGTACCCGGAGGGCAGGGATCTGCACCTCGGAGCTCAGGGCTGTGATGCTTCATTTGGCAGCAGCTCGTTGAGCTGAGCTTGATGCAGGAGGATCAGGAGCCCCTCTTTCCACGACCAGGGCATCCTTCCGTGTGGGGAGATGTGAAGAAACAGCTGAATTGAGCAGGGAAATAGGAAGAAAATGGCCTTCGGGTGGGATTTGTGGTTCTGTTGCGATAGGAATAGAGTGGCATGGATGGCAGGAATGGGAGAAAAGCCTCATCTAGGGGGAAAGCAGAGAGCTTGAAAGCTATTAAAAGACATCCTGTGTGCTTTTTAAACTTCATATATAAAGATGTTAACATTAGCTTCAAAGTGGGAACTCATCTATCCAGCAAAAGGAAAAGATAAAACATAGTGGAACTCTTGAAAGAGGCATCCTGGGCTGTGCTGGGGTTCCTCCTCATCTGCCGTGCTCCGACCGCTTGGGCAGATCTGGCGCTGATTCACAGCGCTCTGTTGGATGTGAGTTTGCATTTTTCCCCCAGCAGAAACGTTTCCATCCTGAAATAAAAAGCCCATCTGCTCTCATTGTGGGGTAAATCCCCGAGGATCTGCATTCCCTTCCCTTGCAGCACCGCCTCCGATGCTGCGGGGTGCAAACCCAGCCAACCTGTGCGCCCACCTCCTGATGCTGACTTTGCACAGGTTCATGGCGATGCTCAGCGCTGGCCATGCATCCTCCAGAGGATGCTCCTGGTGCTGCAGGGCTGGGAAATGCAGCTCTTAGTGTGATGGATGGGTGCAGGATTCACCGCTGCACCCCTCCTGCTTTTGGCCCTGCGATGCAGGTGGAGATTTACTGCCCCGTGCCCCCAGCATTGCGTTAAGCCTGGTAATGAGCCTGTTGTATGCATTAGAGGTGGAAACACTGCTGCCTACACTTTGAAGCATTCTTCCCCCCTGTTTGGGAGATGCTGCTCCTGCATGCCTTGCTCTGGGTTGTCCACAGTCCTGTGCTTGGAGGAAGCCCCTGCAGTGGCAGGGATGTTTGCTGGGGTTGCCCCTTGCTGAGAACTGCAGGTGACCCAGCGTGCTCACGTGCCTTTATCAGAAGCTATGAGAACGCTGCTCCGACTGTTTGGATGGAGCTGAAAGCAGCTTTCTTTTTACTTACAAAAAGCAAAGTGGTCAGCAAAAGCGGTATTGCCCTCCTGTGTGCACCTTGCTGCAGGGAGCAGGGCGAGTGGGGAATGCAAGGGGAGAGCTGTGCAAAAGGAGCAGAGCAGTCAGATGCAGCCCCACAGCTCTCTGCTGCTCGCTCGTTCTGCGCTCTCTCCTTCTGCACCGATGCATGCTTTCATGTGGTTTGGCCTAATCCATTTCCAAGTCATCGCATTAAAAGCCTTAATTCCTTTGTCATACGCACATGAAGTGGTCGTGCTGTCTCCTCGATGAGCGGTGCATGCTGAAAAGGCGGCCGCCCGCAGTTCCGCAGCAGCGCGGAGCCTTTCTGTGCCCTTTGGGAGTTGCATCTTGCAGCGGGGACAACCCCAATATTTTTTCGGGGTGCTGTGCTCACAGCTCTGCCCGGCCACACCTCGATGAGCAGCGGCCGTGGTGCGGCCAGCACTGCCCAACAGGAGCTGGAGAACAGCAGCACGAGGGGGTTTTGCTGGCGGCGATGCTGACGGCGCTGTTTGCCCCGCAGATGTCATGGCGCCCGCAGTACCGCAGCTCCAAATTCCGCAATGTCTACGGGAAGGTGGCGAGCAGGGAGCACTGCTTCGATGGCATCCCCATCACCAAGAACGTGCACGACAATCACTTCTGCGCCGTCAACGCCCGCTTCCTCGCCATCGTCACCGAGAGTGCCGGCGGCGGCTCCTTCCTCGTCATCCCACTGGAGCAGGTGAGTGCCATGCTCCTGCTCGGAGCATCCCAGCTGTCCTGCAGCACGTGCCTGGCTCTGATCTCCTTAGTGGGGCTTCTTCTGTGGCAAAGTCAGGATTTATGGTTGCCTTAGGGAACTGGATTTGTTCTTTAGGAAGAAAATGCAGCATTTGGACTCCATGGTCTTTGTAGGTCTCTTCCAACTGAAAATATTCCATTCCATTCCATTCCATTCCATTCCACTTTACCCTATCCTATCCTATCCTATCCTATCCTATCCTATCCTATCCTATCCTATCCATTCCATTTCATTCCATTCCATTCCATTCCATTCCATTCCATTCCATTCCATTCCATTCCATTCCATTCCATTCCATTCCACTCTTCCCTTCTCTACTCCACTCTGTTCTGTTCTAGTCTATTCACCCCATTCCATCCCCCATCCCATCCCACCCCATCCCACCCCACCCCACTCCACTCCATCCCATCCCACCCCACCCCACCCCAAAGCTTGGTGCTCTGGGCAGCCAGATAGGGGGAGTACAGCTCTGCGCCTGGGTTTTCTGCTGCAAAATCCCCATGCAAGGCTTGCAGACAAGCTCTGCTTCCTCAGCCAGCACAGCCGAGCTGAGCCGGTGTCTGCCCAGGTCCTGGCTGTGACTCATCTGCAGCAGCAACCTGACAGCTCCAGAAATGCCATTTTTGACGTCACCTCATTGTTAAGAGCTGGCTAGAGGAGGATGAGGAGGAACAAAAATACACCAGTTCATCAGCACTCCTCCATTCACATTGGCTCTCCAGCCTGCCACTGGGGTGAGGGCACACTTCTGTGCTACGGACGCAATCAGAGCATGTATTCCTTCCCCCTGCAGCACTGTGCTTTCAGAAGCTTCCCTCCACTTCTTGCATGAGTGCCCAAACCAATCTGCACATCCCCGTTCATGCAATTTTAAACCCTTGGAAATAAAACTGCCTTCTGAGAGCACAGTGTGGGTCTGTGGGCAACGGCTGCTTCTCTCCCAGACGTTTCCCCACGTAACATCCACATCTCTCCTTCCTTTTTATTTAATTTCCCGAGTAGCATCAGCTACAGATGGAAGAAATCATAATCAGCATTTTAATTGCGGCACGCAGCTTGACTCTTATTAATATTCTGCAAACAAGGAGCTTTGGTGGAGCTGCATCGCTGCCTCCTGCCTGCGCCCCGAGCTCAGAGCACACCCATCCACGCCCCATGCGGCCATCCCAAACCCTGTGCCATAACCTTAATTTGCCAGCAAATTACTCTTCTTTTTCACTTCTTTTTTTTTTCCTGGCAAATGGAGCACAATGCCAGGCTGTCATTTGCAACCTGTTCTGAAGGGATGGTTGGCCCACAGAGAAGCCCAGCGCTGTGGTGCACTGCTGCTGCCGGATGGTCCCCACTGGAGCCCCCTTGGCTCTCCGTGTCAGATGGCTGCACGCTCCTTTGTACAACCTAATAATTTCATTATTTTTCTTAAATAGGAGCTGATTAGCTCATTAAGAGTAAACTAATTTTCTTTGGAAATCAGCAGCCACCTAATTAATTGGCATCCATATTTAGCTGAACATAATTAAGGTAACCTAGATACTGCGCATCTACTCCGGGTCTGATTTGCTGCCATTTTTCCTTCTTCTTCTTCTTTTTTTTTTTTTTTTTAATATAAATTTTATTTTTACATTTCTGCCCTCTGTTCTCGCCAGAAATCTTCCCCAGAAAAATGCTCTGCTTTGTGCTGTGAGCACCAATGTGAATGTGTTTGCATACGCTGGGCCATATGTTCCTCTGCACATCAGAAATTCAGCTCCTTGCAACTGAAAGCCTTTGGGTGCTCGGCAGGAGCAGAACCCTCCTCAAGAGCAAACAATATGCAGACAATTCCCAGGCCTGACCTGGCGCTCAGAGAAGCTGAAAAAGTGGAACTGGGAAAGAAATCCCATGTATTTTTCCGGGAGCACCTCCCTCTTTCATCCTGGAAGGAGGGCTGTGGATGATGGGTGAGAGGGAGCCACAGAGCAGTAGGAAAAATGGGATTTGGAGGTGACATGTCTACCTTCTTCTTCTTCCTTTCCCTCTCCTTCATCCTCTTCTTTCCCTTCTTCTTGTCCTCTTCCTTCCTTTTTTCCTTCTTTTTCCTCTTCTTCTTTTCCTTCTTTTCCTTCATCTGGTGGAGAATGGGCTTAACTGCGCTGTTAGAGCCGAGAGACTTTTTGCATCTTTTGGGTTTGGAATCAAAGCTCACACAATAGGAGGAGGCTTTGTTTACATGTAGGGAGCCAGAACCCAGGGCTGCTGCTCACGGCAGGGCTGCTGCTTGCAGTCTGTGCTGTGCCTTTAGCTGTGTCCCCACTGCCCATGGGCATCCATCCCTCGTGCTGAGCTCCGAATGGCCCCATAGCACCCCAGGATGCTTCTGCATTGCCCATAACCCAAACTGAAAGGAAAAGCTCTGTAGGCAGACCATTCCTGCAGCCCCCGGGGAGCAGTCCTGTCATATCCCCCATCCTGCCCCCCATCCCATTCCCATCCTGTCCCCAACCAGAGTGACAGCTGTTGAGCGGAGCAGCAGGCACAGTGCCCAGGGCAGCCATCCGCCCCCACTCTGCCTTTGTTGGCCTGGGGAGCCGATGGCATCTGCTCAGCTGTGTGCCAGTGGCATTGCCCTGGGGACAGCCACTGATGGTGGCAGGGAAGGGGATACTCAGTGCGAGGATGCTCTGCTTGCTCCTTGGGGCTTTCTGCAAAGAAAAAAATGCGTGGATTTCAGTATTTCTCTTCAATATGAAGCGGTGCCCTGAGGGCTTTTTCTACCTAAAAGCTCAGGACTCGGAACTCTCATCTGGTCTGTACCATACTTTGGTTTTCTGTCGATTTTTCCAGACTTGATTTTGGTCTGAAGGAGCCATCTGCTTGTAAACTAGAGACGGGGAAGGAAGGAAGGCAGCAGTCCGGGCTGGTGGCAGCGATGTCCCAGCATTGCTGCACGCACTGCCCCGAGAGCGGCGGGGGGAGCGGGCCGGGGAGCCGACCTGCACGCAAATGCCTGCACCCTCTGCCGGCTGAAACAGAAACCCCGTCCTGGGTGCCCAGCAAACAAGGATTTGGTTTCAGTTTTTAGTGCCCGTCGTCCCATCTAACGGTAACACTGCATGGGTTTTTGCCTCTTTAATTGAACAAGCTCGATTCCAGCTGCTGCTTTTATGGGGCAGGCGAACACTGCTGCGGCAAATCTGCTGCTTTGAACCGGTGCAAAATGCTGTCAGAGCTCCCATGTGCCCTAGTTTGGCCTTCAGAGCACAGGGCTCTGGGTCTGCTGTGTCTGAAGAAGTAGCTGTTACCCAAAATACAGATTATGGATGTGCTGCAGTGAGGCTGAGCAGGAGATGGACGTTTATAGCCTATAAATGTATTTATATCCAAGGAGGGGGAGTGACTGATATTTCAGCCTTCATCCTGGCAAAAGTGCTAAGCAGCAATGCTGGTTACTTCTCCTGCTCCACTTTGCATGGCTTGGCTGCAAATAGAAGGAGCCAGCAGCCCTGGGGATGCTGAGCAGCTGGTAACTGCAGTGAGAATGGAGGAGGATGGAGGTGGATGGACCCGAGCAGTGCTGGTTCCCATGGCCTTGGCCATGCAGAGACATGGTTGCTGGTGCACAAGTGCTGGAAGCTGCATGCAGCAGAAGGGAAAGCCTGCAGGCATCTGTATTTATCCAACTGTTGGACAGAAACATCTCCAAGAGTGGCATCCATCCCTCCATGCACATAAGGGAATGGCCTTTGGGGAAACGGTCTGCGCAAACGCTCAGCACAATCACTGCCTCTCAGTGCAGTGCCATCACCAGCAGAGCCCAAAGCTGCCCAGTGACCAGACCAGTCCTCTCCTTGCCCTGACGACCCCCAGTGCAGATGTGCTGCCCTGCAGTGCCTGCAGCTCTCTGAGCCCCCAGCTCCGGTGCTGGCAGAGCACTGTTTCCCATGGTTGTTCTGGGTCTCTGCCAAGGATCTGTCCCGTTTCTGCCTTGCTTATGCTGCCTCAGGTGGAACTGGTTCCTAATGAAATTCGGGTCAGCTGCGGTCACCTTTGCATGTACTGAAATCAGCCCCAGGTCAGCAAAATTGGTGTGATTTTCTGCTCTCTTCTCAAGGAGGAGAGACTTCCTCTAAAGAAGGCAGCAGCAAACGTATTTACTCTTAATCTCAGCCACTAGAGACTTGTGTGTGCTCAAGGATTTCCGAGGAAACCCTGCAAATCCCTGAGGCTCAGGCAGCCCTCCCTGATCCCCTAAAGCAGCACGAGAGCAGAGAGTGCAAGGGGAGGAGAAAATTCCCCTTGTCCTGGAGATGGAAGCAGAGCCTCAACAAGGAGGAAGGATTTTCCCATCAGGACGGTCGTCCCTGTCCTGCAGCAATATGTCCATCCTGGGGTCGTGTGTCCATCCTAGTGCCACGCGTCCACCCCTCTCAGAGCTCTGTGTGCCCCTGGTCCATCTGAACCATTTGTGGTAGCAGAAATTATTTGTTACCCCTTCTCCCTGTGAGCATCACACGAACACTTCTCCACGCAAAGCACTCCTGCCCAGTTGCTGCAGCAGCCGTGCAAGGCTCCTTCCAACCCCTGCTGTGAAAAACACCGAAGTGCTGGAGCCTGGAGGCAGAGCCCGGTATTAAGGAGCTGCTATTTGGGTCACTGAGCTTTGGGCAGTGTGGGATCCATGCAGCCTCGGAGCAGGATTAGGATTCACTGCGGTTTAGCACTGACAAGGTGCCTTCAGGAGAGGCCGCCCAGGAAGCTCTGCCCTGAATCCCTGATTTCATAATTATTGTTCTCTTTTTGTCACTGTTATTGCTGCTTCCACTCCCCCCGAGGCTCCTTCCCCTCTCTGAGGTGCCCTGGGCATGGGAACCGGCCCACTGCTGCTCCGTGTATTCATTTGGTCTTAATTAAAACTCCTGACTCCTTGCACAGAAACCATCACCAGCAACCAACCCTGCTCTGTCCTCCTGGAAGCTTAATGTACTCTGACAAAAACCCATCAAATCTACTTTGCAAAGGAAATTACTCAGCTGGTTGCTCAGAATTAAAGGGATTGCATATTAACTAAAAGCTCCGTCCTGGAATTCAGCAGCTGCTGCATGCATCCCTGCTCCAGACGCTGCGTTAATCGCGTCCTGCAAATAGGGAAATGGGGGGAAGCTGGATAATGTGAGCTGCGAGGGGAGGTGATGTCTGCTGTTGCGCTCCATGTAACAACCCATAAAGCAGAGCTGTGCATCCCATTAATTCCCAGGAGATGGCAGGAGGGAGGGGGCTGCAGGCTCAGTGCTAATGAAGCACAGCCATGCTGCATCCCCTCCGCCCCTGTGCTCCACCTCGTTTGCTGGCTCCCGGCACGGAGAGCCCAGGGGGTTCCCTGATGTCTGGGGGACACCAGACCCCCCCCTGCAGTTCCTCTGTGGTGGGCAGTGCCCCATTGCCTGGTTTTGCCACTGAGTACAACAACACTTCCTAATGCATAGGTGAAGCCTTTCCTGCTGTGTGTTGGGATGTAGGCAAAGGGAGGCAGAGGGGGACACGGCTGCAAACGGCTGCGTGGTGAGGAGCAGCCTGGTGCAACGTCCAGTTGAAATGCTTGTTTTTGTGCCTGCTGAAGTGAGCTGCAGGGCTGGGGTTTGAGGTGCACGCACTTCATTTTCCCTCGTGTTTCCCAGTGCCTCATGCAATGGCTTTCTGCACCGCCGTGCTGCAGGTAGGCAGTACCACTGGCAGATGGAAAGCAGGCGCTGGGCCCTGTGAGCAGCCTCGCTTTGCCTTGCAATTAGCAGGCTGTGTCTTCCTGAGAGCAAATTAATTCAAATAAATCCTCCTGGCAGCAACGGTGCAAGAGTGAGCCGCTGGGCCTGATCCAGCTGCTCAGAGCACTCCTGGCCATGGCCCTGAGCTGTGGGTCCTTAAAATGCAGCATGTTATCCTGCCTGTGTTCCTTTGTTCGTGTTAAATGAAGCCAGGAGCTCGATACTCCGAAAGGTCAGAGCTGGAAGGGCTATGAAATATTTAGTGGCTGTGTCGCGCTGACCTACTTATCCTGCACGCTCCGAAGCTCACCACCACCTCCTGGGTGCCAGGGGTGCAGAAAGGGCCAGAATGGGATGTGCAGGGGCTGTGGGGTCCTGGTACAGCTGCAGGAGCGCTTGATTCTATGATTCTGTGGTTGTGTGGTTCTTTGGCTCTGTGATTCTATGGCTCTATGGCTCTTGGGCTCTATGATTCTATTTTTCTCTGTCTATGACTCTATGATTCTATGGTTCTATGCTTCTGTGGTTCTTTGGCTCTATGATCCTATGGTTCTGCAGTTCTACGGCTCTGTGACTCCATGACAATGAGTCAATGGTTCTGTGGTTCTACAGCACTGTAGTTCTACGATTCTATGGTTCTACGGTTCTGTGACTCTATGATTCCATGGCTCTATAGCTCTATGACTCTATGGTTCCATGGTTCTATGACTCCATGTTTCTGTGACTATGACCCTATGACTCTATGGTTCTGTAGTTCTATGACTCTATGGTTCTATAGTTCTATGACTCTATGGTTCTGTAGTTCTGTGACTCTATGGTTCTATAGTTCTATGACTCTATGGTTCTGTAGTTCTATGACTCTGTGGTTATGTTGTTCTATGGTTCTATGACTCTATGGTTCTGTAGTTCTATAACTCTGTGGTTCTGTAGTTCTATGGTTCTATGACTCTATGGTTCTGTAGTTCTATGACTCTGTGGTTCTGTAGTTCTATGGTTCTATGGTTCTATGACTCTATGGTTCTGTAGTTCTATGACTCTGTGGTTCTGTAGTTCTATGGTTCTATGACTCTATGGTTCTATAGTTCTATGACTCTGGTTCTGTAGTTCTATGGTTCTATGACTCTGTGGTTCTGTAGTTCTGTGGTTCTGTAGTTCTATGGTTCTATGACTCTGTGGTTCTGTAGTTTTATGGTTCTATAGTTCTATAGTTCTATGACTCTGTGGTTCTGTAGTTCTATGGTTCTATAGTTCTATGACTCTATGGTTCTATGGTTCTATGACTCTATGGTTCTATTATAACTCTGATTCTATGGTTTTCTGACTTTGACTATAGTTCTATGATTCTGACAGCAGTGCATGGGGTTTGTGGGACCAACCTGCAGTGGGAACCAGCATCAGGCTGTACCAGGAGCTGTGTGCTGTTTTTTGCTGCAGCTTCCCTCACCCAGCTGACAAGCGTTGACCATTCGAAAGGTCTTGAAGGGTTTCCATCCATGTGAAAGGAGCACATCAACTGGCCTGGGATAGCTGCTGCGTTATTAGCATCATTAAGCAAGAGAGTTCATGTTACTAAAGTCCCTGGGGATTTGATAACTGGAATATCATGGACACATGGACCATGGTTGAGATTACTTGCAAAGTTTGGGAGGAAAATACCATCTGTTTCCTAATTCACCTCATGGTTGATCTGCCCAGGGTTGAGGTTGGTGCCTCTCCAGTCCCAGCTATTTGCCTGTGGTTTCAAGTGGTCATACAGAGATTTCTTACCAAACCCCCCCACTAGTGGTGCAGGAGCTCATGTGGAACAGCCCTGTGTTCGCAAAAACCTCTTAGCCTGCAGGGTTCAGCTGAGCCTTCCCAGGGAAAGAGCACCCTGGTGAGCTAGGGGCTGCCTCCTGCTAGGGCTCCAGCCTTAAAAAGACAGGGCTGTTTTACTGAATTTTCTCTCTCGTTTTTAATCACAGACAGGCCGGATCGAGCCAAACTACCCCAAAGTCTGCGGCCACCAGGGCAATGTGCTCGACATCAAGTGGAACCCCTTCATTGAGAACATCATCGCCTCATGCTCCGAGGACACCTCGGTGAGTGGTGCGCTGCCCTGCTGATGGCTCAGCGAGCAAAGAGTGGGCAACTGGAAGACTGTGTAAATCCACAGCTGTGTGGCACACTGTGCACATCTGCAGCTCGTGTGCCATCAGTGTAGGGGCTGCTGCTGGGGATCAGCCCCTCTGCTGTGCCCTGTGCCATGTGGCATTGAGTGCTGCTCTTTCTGTGTCCCTGCACAGCTGTGCACAGTGATGGCTTTTTGCAAGCCCAACAGCAGTGCTATTATTAATCCTTCCTGCTAGCAGAGACCGCAGGGCTGCGGCTGCTCTCGTGTCCTGGTGCATGCAGCAGTGTGAGCCAAGGGCAGCCCTGCCACTGGGGGGACACTGAATCAGGTCATCTGTATCAGATGACATCTGCCTCCCCCTTATTTGCTGGATGCACACGAGTCCATCCCAAAGAGTGTAACGAAAAGGAAAAAGGCTCTACAAGGGAGCGGAGCGTGGCCCATTCTGCACGGCAGAAGCCAGGCTTTGGGGTGACCCAGTTTTTGACAGCTCACAAAGACACTGCGTTTCACTGAATGCTGTCACCCAACAATTCGTCCTCTCCTTCAGCACCACTTATTGGTATTTTTTTGGTCACTGAGAGCTTGTCAAGGAAGTGTTTCAATGGGGAAGAAATGCAGATCATGGCTATGAATCATGGGGAGCTGTCTCCCACCTTGGATGATAACTTCTATACATTGCTAGGGGGGATTGCTCTCCTGCTGGGGATACGACCTGCCAATATGTGTCCTGTGCAGGTGCGGATATGGGAAATCCCAGAGGGGGGCCTGAAGAGGAACATGACGGAGGCGGTGCTGGAGCTGTATGGGCACAGCCGGCGCGTTGGCTTGGTCGAGTGGCACCCCACCACCAACAACATCCTCTTCAGTGCTGGCTATGACTACAAGGTGAGCCCAGGGAACCGCATGCAAACAGCTCCTGGTGTCCAAAACGCAACCATGCACCGTGCCTTGCACCCTCCTGTAAGCGTTGGTTTTGCACAAGGGGTGACCCCATAAAGATGGGCTGAGGGCTTTGGAAGTGATGAGCAAGCGGTTTCAGCACCCAGATGAATTTTAGGATGGCCCAAAACACAGCCTCACCCCCTCCACAGGTCCTCATCTGGAACTTGGATATCGGGGAGCCTGTCAAGATGATCGACTGCCACACGGATGTCATCCTGTGCATGTCCTTCAACACGGATGGCAGCCTGCTGGCCACCTCCTGCAAGGACAAGAAGCTGCGGGTGGTAGAGCCGCGCTCCGGCCGGGTGCTGCAGGTGAGGGGTCTGGAAGGGTCTGCAAATGGGGGCACAGGAGGGATCCCCAGTCACATCACAGCCCTTTGGGTGGAACGCAATAGAAGCTAAAAACAGGCAGCAATAGGAATGGAGGTGGGAAGGTGCGTGGCCTGGGGGAAGGCAGTGGTTTCCTGGCGGTGTTCATCTCCTGCCCTGTCCTGCAGGAAGCCAGCTGCAAGAACCACCGTGTCAACCGCGTGGTCTTCCTGGGCAGCACGAAGCGGCTGCTCACCACTGGGGTCTCGCGCTGGAACACACGGCAGATCGCGCTCTGGGACCAGGTCGGTGGCTGGGACTCCCTTTCAGGGTACCACAGCTAAAGGTGGTCCCAAAATGCCCAGACCGGGGGGCTGGGAGAGCCCTGCCCATGGCAAACCTCACTGGGGATGCCCTGCTCTGCATCCCTGGATGGGAGCCAGGGCATCTCCAACCTCCAGCACCACATTGGAAGGCAATGGGCTTATCCCAGTGCAATGCAAACCCTGTGACGTCTCCATTGCTGTACGGTTAAAAGCAATTTTTCCCATTGTGCAGGAAGATCTCTCCATGCCCCTCATTGAGGAGGAGATCGATGGGCTCTCGGGGCTGCTCTTCCCTTTCTACGACGCAGACACTCACATGCTGTATTTAGCTGGCAAGGTCTGTGGGCTTGGTGCCAGCACGGCAATGCTGGGAGCTGGTGCTGCAAACACCAGAACAAATCCCCTGCAGGTCGGGGCCAGGGGATGTTAGCATGATCTGTACTCGGTGCAGCACTAATCTCACTCTTCTCACTCCAGGGTGACGGCAACATTCGGTACTATGAGATTGGCTCAGAGAAGCCCTACCTGAGCTACCTGATGGAGTTTCGCTCCCCTGCCCCGCAGAAAGGACTGGGTAAGGATGGCAGCTCGCCCTGCTGCTGAGCCTTCCCTTGCAGAAGGTCAACCACGGGAGGGCTTAATGAAATGATGCTGATAGATGCATCCTGCAAAGCAGACATGAGGGGGGGCTGGATGCCATGGGGCAGCCAATGGAGGGTTAATCCAAAGCGTCCCATTGCTGAGTCTCCTTCCGCTGATGCTAAGCCTGGGTCCCTGCCAGGGTCACTCACTTGTTCCTCAATCAAAGCTGCTCATCCCTTTCCCACTGTCCCTATAAAAGCCCCTCTCTGCCCCACTGGGATGCATTCAGCCACACGTGGGTCTTGTAATGATGTGACCCACAGCTTTTTGGGGTCCTGGCTGGCTGGGTCTCAGCGTTTGCAGCACTGGGGGTTATTACAGGGGAGCTATTTCACTCGCCATTCGCAGGGGTGATGCCAAAGCATGGGCTGGATGTGTCTGCCTGTGAGGTCTTCCGCTTCTACAAGCTGGTCACCCTGAAGGGGCTCATCGAGCCCATCTCCATGATCGTGCCAAGGAGGGTGAGTGCCCTAGGGGTGGACATCCTATCCAGCAGGTGGGTCTTCTTTGGTCCAGCCTCGGACCTTCCCATGGTAACATTTCCAACACACGCAGTTCGCAGTGGGTGGAGTTTGACCTGTGGGTAAGATGGGGACATCTTCAGAAGGTGCATTTCTGCACACTTCTGCCCTTGGCTGCTGCTTTTTGCTGCACGAATGCTCAGCATCCATCAGCCCTCAGTTGAGTGCTGTAGCCCAGAGCAGAGTTCAGGGCCCTTTAGGAACTTTCCAGCTCTTTTGTCATCCTGATGGGTGACATTCATTTATTCTGCCTGCTGTAGATCAAATGCATCCTGTGGCCTCCACAGTGTGGCACTGGGCAGGGACAAAGGTGAAAGTCCTGTACAGCCCTGCACAGCCCTGGGATTGCTGCCTTGGCAGAGCATGAGCTCAGTGCACAGCCCTGGGATGCTTTCTTTCTGGTTTGACTCAGCACAGCAAATGTGGGTTTGTTGTTTTTCCTGGATGCTGCCACGTGGCTGCATTATTGCACGCTGATGGAGGGAAGGAGCAATTGCAGTGCACGGATGGGATCCTTTAAGGAGCTCGGTGCTTTTATTTCCCTGTTCTGTAGTCCGAGACGTACCAAGAGGACATTTACCCCATGACCCCGGGCACGGAGCCGGCCCTCACACCAGACGAGTGGCTGAGCGGGGTGAACAGAGGTAAAAGAATGAACCACAGCCCTGGAGGCGTCTGTGGCTCAGTCCTGGCAGTGGGGGGAGCTCCAAAAGCAGCCCTCGCTCAGCCCCTGCTCTGCCCCCAGACCCAATTCTGATGTCACTGAAGGAGGGCTACAAGAGAACATCCAAAATCGTCTTCAAGGCACCAGTGAGAGAGAAGAAGAGCGTGGTGGTGAATGGCATTGACCTGCTGGAGAACGTGCCGCCCCGCACCGAGAACGAGGTGGGGAGCACCGTGCCGTTAGCGTGGCCCCAGGCTGGTCGTTTGGGTCCTTCTGGGGCATTTTGGGGGATAAGGTTCATCTGCAGCCCAACCAGCTGCTGCGCTCTGGCTCTCTGCTCCCAGTTGTGCATTCCTGGGGCACCCCGCTTTAAACCTGGTGGATGCACCCAAACGAGCAGTGTGATGCTCCTGATTTTTCTTTTAATTAAATCCTCCTGGAACAACACTGGGAAATGCTGGGGAAACATAGAGGAAGCTGGCTTTGTCGCAGGGTGCATGCACAGGGTAGGGAAATGCAACCCTAGCAAGGAGGAAGTGCGTTGCTGCCGTCGCATTGCAAGAGCAGCAGAATTACAAAAGCAACGGGGTCGGAAAACAGAAGGGTTGCAAAGCAGGAGGTTGTGCAGCAGCCCCGCTGCAGCTCCGCTCCCATCTCCTTGCAGCTCCTTCGGATGTTCTTCCGGCAGCAGGACGAGATCCGGCGGCTGAAGGACGAGCTCTCGCAGAAAGACATTCGGATCCGCCAGCTACAGCTGGAGCTGAAGAATTTACGCAACAGCCCGAAGAATAATTAACTTCCAGGGACGTTTTATAAATAAACTCTCTTTGTTTATACTCGCTCTTTAATTTTATTGTATCCACTTACACAGAATACGAGCCAGAAGTCAAGTGACCTGCCAAGAGCCCACTGCTAACTGGAAACAAGTCCTCGTTGCCTCGTCTGCACTCAATGCAGCTCCAGCACAAAGGAGGGGAGCTGGGTGCACCGGCTGCCCTGGAGCTGGCAGAGGGCACCGTGGTTCCTCGCTGTTAATCTTTTTCCTATGCAAAACGTGACAGAGATTCCCTCGGCTGCTAAACTGGAACTGGGTTAGCACAGCGCGGGAGCTGCAAATGGTGTTTGTGCGCAGCACTTCCTTCAAACGTTGAAAGAAAAACATTGAGAGCAGTACGGCTGGATGTCCTAACCACAGAGGTATTTTTGCTCCTTCCCCTCCACGGAGGGACCTGACCTCCTCCTTTGCCCCTGGACAAGGGCGTGAGGGCACAGCACACCCACGTGTACAATCACAGGTTGTGAATTAGGCCTTTAGCGCACACCAAATACTGCTAGTTCCTCTCTTTTCACTAAATCAAGTCGCTGAGTCGCCTAGCACTACCTGTGCAATGGTTTCTCCCTGTTGATTTTCGTTGTGCCCCATACCCGACGCTTCCCCGTCTTTACATTCCATGTGCTGTCATTGCCTATTATTTATGCTATCACGGACTAGTGACAAAATAAAATGTTTTCAAGATAGCAAAACCTTGCTGCCTGCTTCTTTCTTCAAATCACAAGCAACCAAGAGTCCTGGACACGGGTCCCAAAAGGCTTTTCTTTGCAGGGATGAGAAATTCAATCCATGCCATCGCTTCCCCAGCACCATCCTGGTCCTGTGTGCAGTTATCCACGTCTGCACCCTTACCCGAAGGCAGCAGGCTAGCACTTCTTTAATTCACCTTTTGCATGGGAAGATGGATTGTTTCTCCCAGGCCCTTGGAATCCACGTGAAATGAGCCCAATTATGGCTGCAGGTTGGGGATGATTAATGAGGCCATCAGCATATCCGCACACATCAGCACAAACCCAGCAGGTTTGGTGCCTGCACTGAGGGGGGGATGTGGGTGCCTGCCCTGCCTCCTACTGCCCAGCTCCTCCCAGCCCTATGAAAGCCCCACAGACAGACAAGCCCTGGTTCTGCAGTTTCTAGGGCAAACCCCGGGTGAGGCTATTGCTGCTCCTGCGCTTGCACCTTTTCCTCCAGCTCCCTCCTCTCAGTAACAGCTTGAATTCTTCCTGACATCTCCTCTCGCGCCATCTGGGTGCTATTTAAAGCAGAAAGGCCCATTTTGGGGAACTCGAACCATCCAGTTTTAGCGCTGAGCTCCCTGTGCTGCTCCAACCTTATGGCTTCACCATAAGGACTGACCCAATCTCCCCTTGTCCCTGCAGGATGGGGCCACGAGACAGCTTCTGCACTGAGCAGTCTTTTACCAGGGTCTGAATAAGACCCATGACAAAGCTCCCAGCTATTTTTTTTCCATTTCTCTTGCAAGCGTTACAATTTGCTTAAAGCCTAAAGATGCTTCCCGGGATGCACAGCACCTCCAGGACCTTTTGCAACCTCAGCAATTCTGGAAAACCTCATTTAGCTGCAGGATTTTCCAGGCTCTCCCCCCACAGATCCAAGCAGAAGGCTCGCCCTTCATTCGTGCTGCTGATGGCACAGCTTCAGGGACAGTGGGTTAGAAGGAGAAAGGATTCAGAACTCAGCTGCCAGCAGCAGCAGCCGGCCCTTTCCCAGTGCAGCCCTAGCCAGGGATGTTTCCTTCCTGCTCTGCTTTCCCCATCCGTGCTCAGCCTTATCGCCCTGACCTACTTTCTGCTTCCTGGAGGTTGTGCTCTGTCGGAGGCAAATGCTTGGCTTGGCCGTGTGGTGCTTCCCATCCTTCGCATTATTGGTTCCAGCATCTTTGGAGCAAGCGCCTGCTGGTAAAGATCTCCTGTGATCGAGCCCCTTTAACATACAGACAACGTAAGAACTGCTTTCTGAAAGCAAAAATTGAGCAATTTAAGAAAAGAAGAGCCCCTGTGTTTTTGCCTGTCAGTTAAATCAGTGGAGTTTCCCATCAATGAGCTGAGGGTGCTGCTGGCCCTGCCTTCCCCACCACCCCGAGGCTCCGCGTGCTCAGGGCTGCCTTTGGGAGCTCAGATTTCTCATAGCTAAAAAGAAAGAAAAACAAAACAACCCACATTTTTAAAACGATGCACTGCTGCTTTCTGACCCAAAGCAAGACCCCCTGCGAGGAGGCTTTCAAACACAGCCAGGGCTCAGCATGGGAACATTCCATCCCCTGCAATATTGCCCAGCAGCACTGAGCTCAGACTGCTTTGCAACAGAATTACAATTGTAGCAAAGGTGCTCCAGGAAGGTGTTAGAAGTAAAAGGTGGTTTTCTCACAGGAGGGATGTTCCAAGAGCTTGGCTGGTTCTCCCTCTGCCGATGCTTCCATTCTCCGTGCACGTTTTGCACTGGTGCAGCTTCCAGTTGTAACAGAAAAACAGAAACTCCAAGCAGAAGATTGTTAAAGCCAGAAATTCTCCACTGGGTTTTTGTTGGCTCTGGCAAGGAGGAGTGAAAGCAGCAGCGTCAACAAACAACTGATAGCAGAAAAGGAGCACGATGCCATTCTCCAGCCCAAACACTCAGAGGAGAAAGTGGGAACGGCCAAACTGAGGAAAACAGGCAGTTGAATGAGCTGCATCCGTTTGTTATTTATTTTTACTTTTTCTTGGGCTTTCCTGCTGATCTGTCACCAAATGCCAGGCTCTGGGCAGTTTTTTTTTTTCCCTATGAGGAGGCTGCAAGTTGGTACCTCTAGCTACTTGGGAAACAAGCCCTTGGCATGCAGCACGTCAATGCCACGCTTAGAGAAATAATGAGGAAATCAGCCACATTAAGCAAAGCTCCGTTTTGCCCTCAGTGGTGGCAGCAAAGCCTTGCAGCACCCCCCTCCCAGCACAAAGGTGTAACCAAAATCCTGCTTCCTGCCTGCAGTCAGTGTACCAGAAGTGCTAAACCATGCACAGGGCTCTGCTACAGCAAGCAGGCAGTAAACAGCGGCCCTGCATTAGCAGCAGGCTCACTGCTGCACCTCTCTTTGGGAAACCTCATTAATTTCAAAGTAAGCTTTGAGATAATCAGCAGTACAAAGAGAAGTGTCACTTAATTGACACCTGGGTCAGTCACTGCTTATGAAAGGGAAGAGCTTAGGGGTGTCTGCACGTTTCCCAGATGAAAGTGAGAGCTGCTTTGCAAGGCAGCGGTGGCTCGCTAGAGCCCATGGGTGACAAAGGTTAAAACAAATGTCACTCCAGCACTGCCACGTGAAGCCGTGCTGCTGCATCTCCTGCATGCAAAGGGGCACAGGGAAGCAGTGTGCTCATTTCCAAGTCTCTGGCTCGTTCTGGAGGAAGGGTCAGGTCCAGCTGCCTCTGAATGCTTTGAATAGCTTGAGTGAAAACTTCCACCTTCAGAAAAACACTCAGAGGCCGAGCTTGCCAGTACAAAGCTCACCTGGAACCTTTGAATTTGAAGCTGGTTCAATGACACAAAGGCTCTGTTTGGGTTGGAGCTTGTGAGCTCTTCAGTTTGTCTTTGCTACTGGTTGCTGCTGTTTGCTTTGCAGGACTATGACCCTGCCTGGCCAGGCTATGGCTTTGCAGCAGCAGACCCAGGCTGGGGTGGGAGCAACAGTTTGCCTGCTTCTCAAAAACAAACAGCCAAAAAAAAAATAAGCCCACAAACAAAACCCCAACCCACCACCAGCAGCAGCCTGCCTGTTACAACAAGATTTGTTCAAGGAGACCCGATGAAGGATGAGCGCACGATGCTCTGCAGCTCCTCGCTCTCCTCTTGCACGGCACACAAACATGCTCAAGTGCTCAAAAAACACAGCCTGCTCTGCCAACAACTCTTTGAAAGAGGGAAATGCAGAGGCTTTGCTGAGGACTGGCTGAGAGGAACAGGAGGCTGGCTGTGGGTGAGAGCGAGGGATGCTCCTCAGGTCCCAGACACACTGACCTGGGGCTCACACAGAGCCTCACTTGGATGAAGGAAACCAAGAGTTCTTTCTTCTGGGCCCGGATAAACAGGGGTGGGATTAAACAGACAGCAGGAACGAACGCTGGTCACGTTGCTCACTGAAAAAACCCTCTTGTTCTGAAAGAAAAACGGCACGCTATTATTTACAGCAAAGTCAGAACCTCTCCCTTGGTTTCACCCAGCCGTGGCTAACAGTTCTGTAGAGCAAAACATATCATCCAGCTACTAAAAACATCAGGGCGTCTACCAGAATAACTCACTGAGTGCCTCTTGGAAAAGGCGTGCGGTTCATTCCCAGTGGCACATTTGACTCAAATAAGCCACAGAAAAAAAAAAAATTGTATAAAAAGATTTATTGAAATTCATCAATGACAAACAGACATAAAACTCAAAGTTTGGCTCTTCTGGGGAAAAAAAAAACAAAAACAAAAAAAAAACTGTTGCAAATGTATTTATACAGATGAAATATTGACTAGGAAATACAAGTCACTTCTAAAGCTATTTTAAAGAGGGATATGAAAGTAAAACTGTACATTCACTAGGTATTTTCAGTCATTTTACTGACTTCCACTAGGTAAGAAAATACAATTTCGTATTAGTATCTCGTGCTTGAGTGTATGAAAAGAAACTTTCTACCCTACATGCTGTACTGCCTCCTGTATTTAGGTTTGTAAAAATTTTCCAAGTATATAGCACAAGTGGAAGTAGTTTCTCATCACTTAAAATTGACTAGGTGTTATATATTACAGACCAAAATAGTACACACCTTATTTAAAAGGGTTGAAACATTTTTTTTTTATTACAATTGTCAAAGTCATTTCACTAGTAACTCAGGAATTAGGAACACTTTTTATATATATTTATATATATATACTTAAATGCCTGCCATTTTCAGTGTATTGGCTGTACCCTAGCCGTAAACAACCAAACAAAACAACCAAAGAACAGAAAGGAAAGAAGAACACAACACGCAGGGGGAGGGAGGGGACTGCAAATTCACCCCACAAACCAGATCCAAAGGAACACCCCAAAAAACCCCCCCGAAACATTTGGTCACTATTTACAGACAGCGAAAGAAAAAGGTACCTACAAAAAGCAGGGAAAGCAATGGCTGAAAATGGCAGTCATTCACGGACAGGCAACAAAGAAATCACTTTATCCATATGCCATTCTCACACCTGTTGCTGCAGAGGGGTGCTTTGCCTAGGTTAGGAGCACCCCCAGAAATGCTTACAATGTATTCTGTGACTGGCAGAGGTGGAAAACTTCAGCAACCGAGGATATCCAGCTGTCTCAGAACAAAGCATGTGTATTTGGGGTATATCCACTGATTTTAAAACTCTTGTTCTTTAGGGATGTCAAACTATCCACTCCGATAATAAGAAACAAATTACCACTTGGTTTATACTTACTATTGCAGTTACAGGGACTAAAAGAGGGACAAAAAGAAAAAAATATATATATTAAATGAATAGGAGGAGGAGTGGCAGTAAAAATAGTATTTTATTCCCTTGCCCACCCGGTCTGCTTCTCCCTCTCATTCCCACAGCAACATTACAATCAGGAGGAAAAAAAAAATAAAAGAAAAAAAAAAAAAAAGAAAAAAGGTTGGGGGTGTGGAGAGGGGAAATACAGGGTAAAAACAGTCAAATCACAATAG